GCTGAACCCCCCTGCAACACCCCCTCAACCTGGTGTCCCCCTCGTTCAGTGCAGGGGAAGCTCAGGGTCACCGGGGCTGGGGGAATTTTTTGGGAGCCTGTGTGTTTCCTGGCTCCCCTCGGCTCCCCGCAGGGCATGGAGCCATTCGGTCTGTTCCCCGTCCCGGAGCCGGACGCGCCAGGATCAGCTCCTCTCCCCTAGTGGGGCCAGGCCCCCGCCACCTCCCTCCCTCTGTCGTGGGGGAAAAGGGTTCCTCTGGCACTCTCCAAAATACCTCGTGCTCCCAGCCCCAACACAACTGCTGACCTGCCGCCACGCTCGGCTTGCAAACCCAGCACCAGAGAAGTGGGGCGGCTGCAGCACCACTGTCGGAGCGGGGCGAAGTGATCAATAAACGCAGACCAAAGATGTGCTGTCATGCACTATACATGAGGGAATTATATTTGATAGAGTACTTGCAGGCAGATTTCTATTTTTCTGTATCCCAGATTATGATTATGATTTCCTTCTGTGTCGTACCAGGTGTAATTATTGTGCAGTCAATGAAAGGCGCTTTCGGAAATCAAACAGCTTTACTGAAATTCTGAACTCTGTTGTTTAGCTGTTCGTATTTTTTATCATGGGAAAGGGTCTCATGTGGGCTGGGAAGCCAGCAATGGTCTAGTGTCAATTGATTGTATGGTTTTTATATAAAATTGAAATAATAAATTGTTTTAAGAAAACCAAAAGCCCTTTTCTCTGTGTGTGGCTCTGCTGGTTTCACTGCCTCTGTCCGTGCTCAGAGGCTGGCCTGCCCCGCAGAGAGCCATTCCTTGGCACAGCCACAGCTGCTGCTGCCTCCAAAGGGCAGACGGCAAATGCCTGGCTCTGTGTAATAGGGACGGATCTGTACCAGAGCACGTGTTTTCTCATCACCAGGGGCCGTCAGGATGCAGGGCTGGCAGCTAACAGCAGGTCATGGCTTTGCCTTGCATCGAGTCTGCCTGGATGGGCCCTAGGGAAAGGAGGAGCAGGACATGGCATGAAAACTGGGCTTGTGCTTTACCATGGTGGCTGCACGTGCACAGTGCCTGGCCCAACACCCCACCCCACGCAGCAGAGGCGAGGCTGTTAGCCAGCGCAAGAGATCACTGATGTTTGTCCAACCCTTTAATTGCTGTGACCTCCCTTCAGAGGCCCTGCCCGGTAAGGAAACACAAAAGAATAACATGCCCCACGGTGCTTGCAGGCTTTCAAACACGTAGCAGCCTAGGAGGCTGGCAAAGGATTTGCAGTCCTCATGCCTTGTTACAGTCCTGGGCAGGCAAGATGCTAATTTATGTGCTTTGTAACACACACATCAGCCGTTTATTCCAAAGGTAGGTCTGGCCACTGACCCTGCTTCCACATGCCTATTACAATACAGAGATGCATTTGAGCTCTCCCTTCTTGAACAGAATTGTGGGTTTGTCTCTGGAAGCTGCTAAATTTGCTGGATGCAGCCAGAGCCTGCTGTTGGCACAGGGGTGAGCCTTGGTATAGGAGCTCTCCTGAAATACCTGACCTGCCAGAGGGGTTGGTGCTGTTGATACCTGTGGGCACCAGAGCTGGAGAAGGGGGCCAGAGGCCTATGCCACCGGCCTCCC